TGAAACTTATAGGCCATGATTCCACAGTAGCTCCTGCCAAATCTCAAGATCAAATTTGTGTGTAGATGGGGATGCATTCTTTACCCTTCCCACTTAGAGCCTCCTTGCTGGAAGCAAGTGAAGTTAATAATTAAGGGTTTGGCTCTGAAGCCACATTGCCTCCGTTCAAACCCCAGGTCCACCACACAAACCAAGCTACTTGGATTGAACCACTTCTCTCTCTGTGCCTTTATTTTTCCCTCTGTAAAATGGAAGTCATTATACTTACCTCAGTGAGCTGTTGTGAAGATGAGGTAGTGTAACAATGCCTGGCACACAGAAATTAGTTAAATATTATCTATTATCTATTATTATCATTATTGAAAGGGAGGTTATAAATTCACCCACACATCCGTACTTTATTACAGGTATTCCAACTCAATTAGTGGGAATTAAGCTAACAGGAGAGGGAGAAAGTTTACCTGAGATACTAGATCTCAAACCACATATCCGAACCCTCTAGGATTGTTAGGATTATAACTTGCTGGTAAGCACAGGGGGCCTGGGAGAAATAAAGGCAGCATCTAATCGAGGTTTGGGAGTGGGAGATGGTGTGGTGTAGGTCAGTGGAGGCTTCTTGGTGGGATGCCACTAAAGCTGAGACCTAGTGTAGGAATGAATAAGAGTTGGATGTGCAAAAGAGAGTGTGTGGGTGGCAGGGACGCAGCAGGTGGGCAGATGGTGCTCCTCCATGCTGAAGACCTCAGCAAAGGTGTGAAGGTGCGACAAAGGTAGACACATACAGGAAATTGGGCATACCTGTATGGAGACTAGGCTCGGATGGAAGGAGATGAGGTGGGGAGAGAGTTGGTCCTGAGGCTGAAGAAGACTGCAGGGGGCAGATCTTTCAGGAAGGGCTCCGTGCATCTGTCTAAAGCGATGGGGCATGGGGAACCCTTAAAGGATTTTCAGGAGGGGAAAAACAGTGCTTCCTATTGTATTTATTTTGAAATTGATTTTTAGTCAGTTTCATGGTAATCAGAGAATATACTCTAAATGACTTCCATCCTTTGGATTTTTGGATCTTACACTTCTTTTTTTTTTTTTAAGATTTTATTTATTTGACAGAGAGAGAGAAAGCATGAGCACAAGCAGGGGGAGCTGCAGGCAGAGGGAGAAACAGGCTTCCTACTGAGCAGGGAGCCCCATACAGGACTTGATCCTAGGATCCCGGGATCATGACCTGAGCTGAGGGCAGATGCTTAACCGAATGAGCCACCCAGGCACTCCTGGATCTTACATTTCTGATGCAGCATATGGTCAATTTTGATAAATGTTTCATGAAGCTACATGTTTTTTTGGTTAGTATCTGCATGGTATATTTTCTTCCGTTCTTTCTTCCTAGTGGGCCTGTGTCCTTAAGATGTGTTCCTCTCCTCCACCCCAGCTTTATTGAGATATAATTGACATAACGTTGTGTAAGTTTAAGGTGTGCATTGATTTAATACATTGAAATATTGGAAAGTGATTAAGGTGCTTTTCTTGTAAGCAATATGTAGGGTTTTTTAAAACTCAATTTGAAAATACATTTTATTTTCAAATAAAAATATTAAATATTTATTATTTTTTATTAAAATAATAAAAGCAGCAGCTTGGTCCCCTGAGGGGAGCCTGGGATAGCCAGGCTTTTTATTAAATATTTTATTTTTTAATTATTTTTTATTAAATATTTATTAAAATATTTATTTTAAATAAATATTTATTAAAATATTTAGTCCTTTTGCATTTAAAGTAATTGCTTAAATACTCAAGTACACATTTACCATCTTTCTACTTATTTTCCATTTGGCCTGTTTTCTGTTTGATTTTTTCCTTTCTCAAAAGAGCATTATTTTGGATTAGTAAACATTTTTTTGGTCCATTTTCTACTACTTTAGGTTGTTAGTAATGCATTATTTATTCTTTTAATGATCTTAGAGATTACAACATAAATCTTGACTTATCAAAGTCTAGTGCAAATAATTAGTTTTACCACTTTTCCAATTACACTAAATATTTAGAAAACTCTGACTTTATTTACCCCCTCCATTTCTTGTGTTACTGTTGTCATGATCTTTGTCTTTCATTTTTTTAATTCCACAAGACTTTATTATTGTTTTTCATTCATTTTAAATTTATATTTACCCACGTATTTATCCTTTTCCTGAGGGACTTGTCCTCTTTTTTTGCATTTTCATGTTTCTATCACTTTCTTTCTGCCTGAAGAACTCCCTTCACATAATCTTTTTTTTATTATGTTATGTTAATCACCATACGTTACATCATCAGTTTTTGATGTAGCGTTCCAGGATTCATTGTTTGCGTATGACACCCAGTGCTCCACGCAGTCCGTGCCCTCCTTAATACCCACCACCGGGCTAGCCCCCCCCCCCCACCCCCCTCCCCTCTAGAACCCGGTTTGTTTCTCAGAGCCCATAGTCTCTCATGGTTCATCGGCCCTTCACATAATCTTTTTGTTTGTCTGAAAAAGTTGTTTCACATTTAAATTTTTTTTAATTTTTAAAAAACTTTTTTGAAATAATTTCAAATTTATAGGAAGGCTGAAAGAATGCTACAAAAAATCCCATATGCCCCATACCCAGATTTATTAATTTTTAATAATTTGTCATGTTAATGTTATGATTTCCAGAATGCTTTGAGAGTAATTTGCAGACATCACATTCCTTTACCCCTTAATACTTCAGTGAATAGTTCCTGAGAATAGAGGAATATTCTCTTATATAGTAGCTGTTAAATTCAGGAAATTTAACCTTGACACATTTATCTAATCTAATTCATATTCCAATTTTATCAGTTGTCACTGATTTTTTGCCATTCCTCCCTTCCAGAATTACGTATTGCATTAATTGTTATGCTTTGTTTTTCAGTATTCTTCCATCTATTATTGATTCTCAGCCTTTCTTTCTTTCTTTCTTTCTTTCTTTCTTTCTTTCTTTCTTTCTTTCTTTCTTTCTTTCTTTCTTTCTCTTTCTTTTTTTTTTTTTAAAGAGAGAGAGAAAGAGCTCTCACGTCGGGGGGATGAGTGAGGGGAGAGGCAGAGAGAGAACTTAAGCAGGCTCCCCGCTCAGCACTGAGTAGGACTCGAGGCTTGATCCCATGACCCTGCGCTTGTGACCTGAGCCTAAGAGTTGGGCGCTTAACCGCCTGAGCTGTCCAGGCACCCCGATTCTCAGCCTCTCTTTGTCTTTCACGATAAAGATATTCTTGAAGATTAAAAGCTAGGTATTTTTATAGAGTATCCCTCAATTTAGGTTTCTTTGATGTTTCCTCATGATTAGATCAGGTTTTGCATTTGGAGCTGAAATACTATATGGATGCGATATTGTTAGGATTTCAGATATGGAGACACATTGTGTCTATCTGCTCCTTCCTGGTGATGTTAACTGTAATCGCTCATTTAAGATATTGTCCAGTTTCTCCACTGATAGTTACTACTTCTTACTTTTGTAGTTAATAATACTTTATGGATAGATAGCTTGTAACTATGTCACATTCTAATTCCTTATCAAAATTACTCACCATAGAGTTAGCATCCATACCAGTCAGGATGCTGTCAGGAAACAACACGGCAGTGATCATGTGCACAGGGAAAATTTAATAGAAAGAAACATTGAGGGGCGCCTGGGTGGCTCAGTCGTTAAGCGTCTGCCTTCGGCTCAGGTCATGATCCCAGGGTCCTGGGATCGAGCCCCGCATCGGGCTCCCTGCTCCGCGGGAAGCCTGCTTCTCCCTCTCGCACTCTCCCTGCTTGTGTTCCCTCCCTCGCTGTCTCTGTCTGTCAAATAAATAAATACAAATCTTAAAAAAAAAATCACTGACTGATAAAAGGTGGGTAACTACCAAAAAAGTTGAAAGAGATCCAGAAGTAGCAAGCGGGAAAAAAAAGAGCAGCTATTACCTCATGGCTGAAAGAGAGGACATATTGAAGGGACTGAGGATTTAGAACCTATCTCTCTCCCTCCCCTGCTCCTGGCACTCCCCCACCTCTGCCAAAAAAAGAAAGAAAAAAAGACTGGGGACGCCTGGGTGGCTCAGTCGGTTAAGCGGCTGCCTTCGGCCCGGGTCGTGATCCCAGAGTCCTGGGATTGAGCCCCACATCGGGCTCCTTGCTCGGCAGGGAGCCTGCTTCTCCCTCTCCCTCCCTCTGCTTGTGCTCTCTCTGTCAAATAAAATAAAAATCTTAAAAAAAAAAAAAGACTGAATTCAGACTTTTTCAAAGAGGGTGTGGCTACCACAGGGATACCTGTCAGCTGCTGGTCGGGACAGGCCAGAGTTTGCATAGAAGTGGCCACTGGCTGGAGAGAGTGTGGCCTGAGTGTGTGACTATAGTTGGTCCACTGAGGTCAGTTGAGGTGAGTGCGACCGGCCCTTCCAAGCACCAGCCCGCTGGCTCTCAAGCTGAGTGACTGAGGAAGGACTGCTGCCCCAACCTAAGTGCCTTCCTGGGGTTAGCACATCACGGTGCCCCCTCTAGCGCCCTCTATTGACAAAGCCTCACATTGACCGCCGGCAAAGGAGAAAGGTTTGCAGAGTGAGAGGCTTGGAGCAGCACTCCTAGACAAAGGATCTCTAAGGCAGAGGGGAACTGCACCTCTAAAGGTTTGAGGGCTGGAGCTGATGTGGTGTACATTGATTGTCGCTAGACGTGGGCAACCAATCTGTCCACCGAAGGGTGGGGAGTAAGACTGGGTTGATTGCATATGAGCACTTTGCCATTATTTATTCTTTTAAGGCATATGTCAGATGCTTCATATATATTGCCTCCACTCCTCATAAAAACCCTGAGAGATGAGCACTACTAGCTACATTTTACAGATGAGGAGGCTGCGGTTCAGAGATGTTAAGTAACTTGTTCAAGACAGTAGAGTAACGGGGGTCAGAATTAAAATCCCTGTCTCCAGGGCTGACATTCTTGCTGGACTACCATACTTTGGATTTAAATGAGTGTGATTCTCTTATAGGCCTCACCGTGTGGATGCCTCCAGGGCAGAACCAAAGTTGGGTTTCTGAATTAATTCTGCTTGGCTTCTCCAGTGACCCCACATCCAAAAGAGTCCTCTTCATTGCCTTCCTTCTCCTTTACCTGAGCTCAGTCCTGGGCAATGCGCTCATCATCACCCTGATCTGTCTGGACATGCAGCTCCTCACGCCCATGTACTTCTTCCTCTGCATCCTCTCCCTGCTAGATATGAGCTGTGTCACCACCACCACCATGCTCCAGATGTTAGTGCATCTCCTCCTTCACTCTCAGACCATCTCCTTCGCTGGCTGTTGGCTGCAGCTATATGTGTTTGGTGCCCTGGGCCTACCTGAGTGTATTTTCTTCATAGTTATGGCTTATGACCGATGTGTGGCCATCTGCCACCCACTGCATTATACGTCATCCTCAGCTGGGACCTCTGCACATAGCTGACAGCTGGGACCTGGGCCTGTGGTTTCTTCTTCTCTCTGATCCATACATTCCTCACCATAAGGCTGCCATACTGTGGGCCCAACGTGGTGAACCACTACTTCTGTGAAGGCCCCTCAGTACAAAACTTGGCTTGCATGGATATCAATCTCATTGAGATGGTGGACCTGGTCATCAGTGTCTTCATGGTTGTTGTCCCGCTATCCCTCATTCTGGCCTCCTACCTCCGTACTGGCCAGATCATTCTCAAGATCAAGTCCACTCAGGGCTGCTGCAAGACTTTCTCCACCGGTGCTTCCCACCTGAATGTGGTCACATTCTTCTATGCTCCAGCCGCGTACATCTACATGAGGCCCAACTCCGGCTCTTCTCCTGAGCGGGACAAGCAGATCTCACGCTTTTACAATGTCTTCACTGCCTTCTTCAACCCTGTGGTCTACAGTCTGAGGAACAAGGACATCAAGGGGGCTTTTCTCAAAGTGATGGGGTGGGGAAGGGTGGCCTGGTGAATTGGGAGACAGGAGAGGCCTGAGGTAGAGTGTCCAATGCTGAGGAAAAGGACAGCTTTCTAATGTATGCAAACAATTTGGTGCATTGGAACCAATATAGCCCCTCGTCAGGGGAACGAATGTGGTACATGAAACCACCATGGCTGTCTTGCTGAACTTGCTACATTGTGGTGCAGTGACAAACAATTCCACAATCTTCCTGGCTTACAACAGCAGAAGCTCATTTATTGCTCATTTTCCATGTCAGTTGTAGGTGGACTGTGGCATTCTGCCATTGGATTCTTGGATCCAATCTGAAAAAGGAGGCTCTATCTGGAATATCCCATTCTTAGGACAAAGAGAAAGACACATGATGACTCTTAAAGCTTCTGCTCAGAAGTGACACACATCTCTTTGCTGATATCCTACTGGCCAAAGCAAGTCACATGGTCAAGCCCCATAGCAAAAGGGCAGGAAGTATTTTCTTCCCACAGAAAAGTAACACATGTCACATGGCAGTGGGTATGGATATATAGTTCTTCTATAGTGAAAGCAGCAATAATGGGGGTGATAATATAATCTACCATAATGGCACTGGAATGAATAGGATACATGTAACGAACATGAAACATGGTAATTGTTAAGTGACATGGTACATAGACACAGTAGAGGGCCAAGATGATGTAGGCAATCACAGTGGTACATGTAAACAGTGAATATATGTAGCCAACATTAAAAATTAAGCCACTGGAACCAAGTGACTCACAGACCTGACTTGGTGCATAGAACCAATGTGGTTCATGGAGCTAATGTGGTATACTCCGCATTGTGATGCAGAAGGACACAGAACCTGACATTAAGTGACCTGGGTTCTAATTCCAATGTTGTAACTTGTTTTATGACTTTGGACAATTCATTTTCTTTCTCTGAATCTTAACTTACTCATCTATAAAATGATCATCTTAAATGTAATGGTATCCAAGACCTCTGCATTTCTAAAATTCTATGCCACAGTAAGTGGACTAAATGAAACTCAAGTGCAATAAACTTGAGAATGCACGTGCACGTGTGTTGTCCTTTGTAAACCACAGCGGGCAGCACACATAGCAGTGACTCTCATTCTTTCGAGGGATCTAAATGACATATGAAGCTAAGAATCCTGGCATAGGGCCTCAGAGTTAGCATGAGCATCCAGCTTCCTTTCAGACCTCATTGGTGGCCCAAAGGCCTCAGGGATGAGTCGATGATGTTCCAGTATTTCTTGAACATCCATTATGGCCAGCCTTGGGGAAACCAAAACAGATTATGTGGCGAGATTTACAGTCATGAAATTACAATGCCAAACCCAACGCCACAGTGACCCTGAAGGGCTGATGACCTCATAGGAATGAGGTTTTCTCAATGGGTGTCAGACATAGAGGACCAGACTATTTCTTCCATCCACCACTGCATACCCCAGCACTTTGTAAGCTCTTCAGAACTTGGAGTCAGGGAGAGGGAGATAGAAACCCCAAGAAGATGAATATTATTTCTCCCATCACTGGAATGATAGCTCAAAATGGAAATTAAGCTCAGTTACTGAGCAATGAAGTTACAGTTGTCTCGGGAAACAAGTCGTTTCTGTAATAGAGAAAAATGGAAGGAAACCTACTTACTGAGACCTGACAGGTTAAGGCCCTGGTAAGGAATTAAGGTTTAGCTGATACCTGAGGATGATAGGAGTCACCCATGCAAAGAGCCAGGAAAACGGCATTTCAGGCAGGGGGATATTAGGGATAAAGTCTCCAGGTCAGGAAAGGACTTCGCATTTTCCGAAGAGCTGGAAGAAGACTCCTATGGTCACAATAAAGTGAGCAGGAGAGGTAGAGATGACATTGAGAAGTAGGCAAAGGACAGTCCTAATGAGCCCTGTAGAAAGCGTTTACTGTATGGTCAGTGCAGTGGGAATGCTTGGATTCTTATTAGGGAGCGGTGCAGTTTTAGGGGTGATGAACTCCACTGTGGGAGTGGCTTGAGGTGACCAGAAAAGAAGTGGGAGAAGAGGTCATTGGGATGAGAATGTCTGGGAACTCACAGGTCAGAAGTGAGAACAAAGAACCTCCTTTTTAGAGAGTCACAGGGGTCCGGTGCCCCCAGGGAGAATTCCAGGTTGAGGATACTGAGAGGGGCAGTGGCTGAATATGGGGCTGAGATGGCAAAGAGAGAGAGAACTGGGGAAAGGGAGAAGTGGGGACTTGGGTAAATGGGGCTGATGAGAAGAGTCTGGGAATAATGAATGACTAGAGAGTTCTGGGTTTCTGAGGTGATAGAGATTTTGTCTCTAGAACTTAGGTGCTAGTATTGTCCTAAAGCATTTACTCAGAGATGAAACAGGGCTGAGCTAGGCAGGGTATTTGGGTGGGTGGTTATAGTTGCACCAATGGACTCCAGTACCTGGCATGACAAAGTTCCAGGCAGTAGTTCCAGAGGGCTTCAGGCAGAAAGTGAAGGGTCCCATGGGTTTTTGAGGCGTTCCTTCCCCTTGTGGGGGACGGAGTAGGGAGCTATGGGGTTGGTGGAAGGTACTTGGTAGCTGATGAGAGCTTCCTGCTTCTGGCCTTGTGGGGAAGTGGGCTGCTTCAATAATGGGGGAGAAGTCTTCCTCGCTGTGGAAGTTTCTTCCAGAAGGTGGGAAGTCCACCTGATGGCTCTTTTACTAGACATTCAGGGACCAAGGTAGTGGAGAGGTGAGTCTTGTGGCTAAAGTGTGATGAGGTTTTATTAGTTTCTCTACAAGGACAGATTGCTACAGTTTGTAATTCAGGTATAATAGATTTTATCTTAACAATGATGAACAACCTGTATTTCTAAGCATCAGGGGTGAGGGATGGGGTGGAGGAGAGGTGGTCACATAGTATTTTCAGAAGAATGGCTTGGGAGACCTGATGAGGGGTTGGACTGAAGAACACTTACTGAGGGAGATCTGGGCATGGTTTATGAAGGTGCTCGTCTTGGATGGTGGCAATGAATAGCGAGATGCTGAAAGAGGTGACAAAGAAAGAAGGAAGAATACTTGATGGCTTGGTGTGTTGGTGAAACAGAGAAATCGAGGAAGGTAGCAAGGTTTTATTTAAGCCAGATTTCCCACCGTCTCTACTTCCCTATAGTTCGCTGATGGGAGCCAGTTGATTGCCCATTGTCATTCCTGGATCCCTGGCACTGCTGAAAGAAGTGACAGCCCCTGTCCTGTTGGAATTTGGTCTACAAACCAGCACAGTTCGTAGGAGGCAGATATGTATTTAGGGATGGGATTAGAAATTATTGTTAGGGACGCCTGGGTGGCTCAGTTGGTTAAGCATCTGCCTTGAGATCGGGTCATTGTCCTGGGGTCCTGGGATCAAGTCCTGCATTGGGCTCTCTGCTCAATGGGGAGCCTGCTTCTCCCTCTGCCCCTGCTACTCCCCCTGCTTCTGTTCCCTCTCTCACTCACTCTCTCTGTCAAATAAATAAATAAAATCTTTAAGAAAAGAAATTATTGTTAAATAAATTCTCTCTTAAGTTGGGTCTCAATGAGGTTGTTTTTTGTTGTTGTTGTTGTTGTTGTTGTTGTTGGGTTTTATTCCCTTCCCTGCCAAGTTTCCTTGAATTTTCCCTGGAGGCAACACTCTAGCATAGATTTTTTTTCCTAATCACCTGGAATATTTTGCACCCTGAAGTCTAAATTTCCTGTATTCCCTCTCTCTTCCAGAACTCCCCCAGTTCTCTCTAACCCTTAATCCCGCAACACTGTTCTCTGGCCTAATCAAATCCCCTTGCCCTCCCATTTCCTCCCATTGTACCACTATTATCTTGATGTAGCCTGGAAAGCATGACCAACTCCCATAATATTTCTACTATCCATCCTTTGCCCATGTGATTTCGGGGTTTGGTGTGTCCTGTCAATCCTTCTATATGGTATCTGCTTGCTCTCTCCCAATGCCCAGCATCTCTCCTCAAGCCCCCTTCCTTACCTCTTTCCGAAATATGTTCAGCAAATGTCCTATAACCAGCTGTGAAATGTGAGGCCAAATATTATTCTTCCAAATTCAACTTATAGTAATAACTGCCATTAATACCACAATTATTATTACTTTACTTGCTGAGTTCAAAGTACCTTCAATGATATCTGGTTGGGTTGAATCTGTATTAGTTTTGTTGGAACCATTACTGTTTTATTGAGGACTATTAGTTAATGATGGTTCCATAATTCTGAGGTTAAAGAGGCCTGATATTAATCACAAGCTGGCATAATAGTTTTGAATTTCCTTTGTGTTCAAAGCGAGAATCTGACAGTATTTCTCTAAGGCATCATTTCACTGAATAACCTGTCACTTGTATCCATTAGGTGATTTAGACTTTCAAATTCAAAGCCAAATTTGGAAGAGGAATAGCTGGAATAGTTCTGTGGACTGTGGGAATTCAGAATCATGACAAGGATAAAATGAATGCCAGGAACTCCTGCCTCTTTTCCTCTTTTTTTTCCCCCCCTGGTGGTAGAAAGAGTGAAAGCAAAATTGGAGGAGATTTTGTGGTCAGTAGGGACTCCTTGTGACAGCTTACCTTTCTGATTCAGGCTTCATTGAAGTGTTGCTTGCCGTTCTTGCTACTGGAGTATTGCCTGCCTTTTTTTGTATGATAAGCACTGGGTGGTCAGTACAATTCCTGAGATTCTGTGGAGCAACTTTTCTGTGTCTCCTCCAAGGTGCTGGAGAGTCAAAGGGGCCACAGCTATGGGTGAAAAGTTCTGACACTGGTAAGAGAAGCCAGCACCATTATGATCATTATATCTTGCCATTCCTGTCAGTATCCTCTTGAATCAAGTACTCTAGTAACACCATTATTATTCAGTTTAGATTTGAACAAATGTTTATTTAAAAAGCTCTACCATGTGAGAAAATCAATGAAGGTATCATTGAGGAGTGTTGGCTGTTTGTAATCAGGGCCTCTACATTTGGTATCTTGAAAGGGTGTCATAATTTTTCTGTAGTTTTGTCCATTCAGAT